ATATATATATATATATATATATATATATATATATATAATTATATCAAAATTAAAACCCAGTGAATAATTAATAATTAACGCATTTACTGTATTTACGCTATATTTATGTATAGATTTCAAACACGGGAACGTGGAAAATGATATGAACATGTTAAATGGGTGTTAAGCCTATCTGGAGACAAGTGACTTGAGTAAATTTGTTTCCATCAGCCGCTCTGGTCTGTATACAATGTATCTAATATTCCATTATTAATATGTAGTCTGAATTCACCTGAAATCACCTGGACGTGACTGTCGATGTTGATTTAAAAATACACATGAATATGAATCAATACGAATGTGCGTGATATGTTTTTGAATAATATAAAATATTTTCCAATACATCTATGTGTTTTCAGCAGCTCGAACAAGGGCAAAGAACTGTGAATCAGATATCCCATCTGACGGGGCATGAACTTTTATGACTTGTGAGCTGAGAGGTGAAACATTCTTTGATTTGTTATTTGACGTTGTTAAACCCATTCATTGAAATATCTATGTACCTCCATCACCAACACCTGAACAGGCAAATACAGTTTAAATATACATACTACTCTCCTTATGAAATGTACATAATTGAACGTAATTTTAACATTCTTTAACCCTATGTGCTTTAAACTATAGTTATTTACGTGTTCTGACTGTGAATTGTCTGAACCTTGTATTAAGGTTGTCTGAGTGACGGAGTCAACATTAAATACGTCACGTCAGGCGGTGTGACCTTTGGTCAAGCATCTGTAGCATGTACCCCGCGCACTCACCCGCACCTGAACACGGAATACAATGTTCTCGACTATGTCACACACGGGGTGTATCCTGACCGGTTGGCGCATTGTGGTCATTTGTCTAACTGCAGTGCAGATGACCAGGCAGACCTATGCTTCGAAAATACTCTTGCTGCCCGGTCCGGGAGAAGGCAGTCATTACACCACTATGAAACACATAGGTGTTGAACTCGTGAATCGTGGCCACTCTGTGACGGTGTTACTGAGTGACGTCTATGCAGACCGACGCCACACAAAGGATGCTGGTGAGTTATTTAGTTTGGTGACGTACACATCCATGCATAGTCCAGAATTATTCCAGGAGTACATAGACGCCATGGTATCTGCCGGTTTTCAGGGGAATTTCCCAAATGTCTCGATGTCCGATGGTTTGAAATTCCAGGTCGAGGAGTGCGAGGCCGTGATCGGGGACACGGAACTTGTTGGCAAGTTGAAACACGAAAAATTCGACGTAATATTGGGGGATATGATTTTGAACTGTCCAGCTGTAATCGCCGAACAACTCTCTGTGCCGTTGGTGGCGTTTACTACCACAACCACTTTTCCAGCTATTACGCGTCTTTTCAATATACCAAACAACCCGTCATACGTTCCAGATATGATGACGCAGCTCACTCACCAAATGAACTCCTTTGAACGTCTTCAGAATTCTTTGATGTATTTGTTCGGTTATGTATATTTTTATTATGTTGCACTGCCTTCCTATACTCAGTTGAAAATTAAATATGACATTGAACCTGGCGTTCCTATTGAGACATCCATCGCCAAGGCAAAACTGTGGTTGTTTCATACGGACTTCGCTTTAGAGTTTCCCCGGCCACTGATGCCAAACGTTGCGTTAATTGGTGGTCTCACTGCGAAAGATGCGACACCCCTTGGACAGGTATGCATGTTTGTATATATTTTTTTTCAGTAAGAGTCGGATTAATATAATATATCTATGGTTAGTTAAGCGCCCTCCAGAATATGTGGCTAAAATACGTCGGTGATGGCGCAAAGGATAACGCCGAAAAATGATTCACGTGGATTCTGCCTGCATTATGTCTTAAGCAGAATTGATCTTTAAATAATAAATTATTTTAAGTTTGTCATCGCTTTACAGAATCTAGAAGAGTTTTTCGAGTCGTCGGGAGAACACGGTGTGGTCTTGTTTTCAATGGGTACATTTAATGTAGATTGTATGGGAGAATCCAAGGCAGAAATGTTCGCAGCGGCTCTGGGGCGACTACGTCAAAAGGTCATATGGAAATATGATGGAAGTCCTCCTAGGAACCTTGGAAATAATACAAAACTTATGACATGGTTTCCACAAAATGATATTCTGGGTGAGTTGTAAACACGTTCATTCGGCATGATATGCACTGGGGTTTTAGTTATTTTTCAGTGAAACGACGAGTTTTATTTTAATTTAACATGGATTTAATTTAGCAGATTTTGCTTATCAGTAGAAATAGCTAAATTGAAACCCAGTGAATAATTAATGGACTTAGAGTTTTCGTCCTCTAAACACTACAGTGTCCGATACTGGATGTGCATACATCCAAGAAATACCAACAGGTCTACAATGTTACCATTGATGTTTGAATTCATCGAATTATGGACAGAATATGGAATACATTACACAGTGGATTGGCGACGCGTCTTAGACAGAAAAATGCAACATTTAACGATGTTCCAAAATTCGTTGAGTGTACTCTCTGAAATCCATCTCAATATCTCAAAACATATTGGGGGAAACCTGTCTTGATTTCTAATATTTTTTATCCATATTTTCACAAAATTATCAGTGTGTTAGGAGCATAATGATATGGAAGAAAACAGCCCATACAAGCATGGTTATCAAATCTTTAATTTCCCCAGCAGAAACGCTAATTCAGTACAACCTGTAAGCTATCAAAGACTACTGAGTTCAATTCAGAATAATTTGCTCATAATTAGAGCAGTAAATTTTGCATTATGTCATGCGCAGTGAGATAAAACGATTGGTGTACACTTACATTATGTTGTTTAAAGCGGGATGGTCGTCATCTGCGCACGCGCGGGAATTGAGTCCCAAGCGACGATAACAACACACGCTAAAAACGCAAAGGCCCATGGGTAGACGCTTGTTTGTAAACAATGACACGCTATGGCCATCTGACGCATGCGCGGGTGACGACTTCCCCGCTTTAATATATTCATTATTTGTGTCACGGTTACTAATCTTTTTTAGTAACCGTGTTTGTATGTTGTATATTACTTT